GTTGAATTTTTAGCTTAAATTTGGTATGGGTAAACTAGACTTAATGAAGAAGATTCTCAAACAATTTCATCTAAAAATTCCATCGGGAATTACCCAAATGGCAACGACCGGACAGAGCCTCTCCTTTATAAGGGGTGATTTGCACTTTTTAAGTTAGCTCGAGCGTTGATTAGCTAGTTTTCCCTAAATTTAAAAGTTGGTAGGTTAAAAGTTCTTACAATGCAAAAAGAGTAATGAATAACCCAGTGATGTTTCGTACTAAAGTAGACTTTTTTTCATCGAAAAGAATATATGTTAAATGTCCCACATCAGATACGTTTGGATGAATAAAGTGCTATATTAACACACGGGCTACTCCTCCTATCAAGTTGATCTTTCAGGATGGAACCCCGAGTCTTAACATGGTATCAGAGACAAATCGATCCATGATGTGGGGACCCCTTATGAAAAATGATGACACGATTATAAAAACGGTCGGATGAAAAAAATGGACCGTTTAAAAAAATGAATGATTGCACCATTCCGACCGTTTAATAACTAATTTTTATTATAATTTTATATATAATTATATGTTTACTATTATTATATAGACGTATAATCATTGACCGGTTTTCCGGCGTTGACCGGGTTGACCCACCGGGTCCGGATTGACCCGTGACCCAGTCATGTGGCCGGGTCCCTCTCCGGTCCGGTTTTTACAACATAGGTATAAAGGTACATACTGTTGTTTTTAAATACTGTCATAAGTAAGTTTGGGGATGTTAATTGAATTACACATGGACTAATTTCGCTTATTAGAGCATCTCCAATGCTAAAACGTGAACGGTGCATACGTGGAATGAGAGATAGCCAACTACAAAATAATAAATAGAATATCTATCTCCTTATTTGAAGGATCTTGTATCGTTTTGGTATGTTTTTCTTCACAATGTCAAACACAATGTCTAGATGTAGACATTGTGATTGACATTGCAGAGGAAAACTTACCAAAAACACATAAAACCGTGGAAAGAATGAGAGTGAAATGTCATAAATTCAATTTTTTGTGTATCTCTAATGCCACATGTGCACCGTGCACATTGTAGCATTGGATATGCTCTTAGACTCCGCAAGAAGAAAATGTAAAAAATGCATACGACGGTGATGCATCCATCTCCTTGAAGCGTGGATTTTTTTTATTCAATGCAACAAATTAAGGGAGTGTTTGCAATTGCTTCAACTTTAAAAAAGTGATTTTTTAAAGTGATTTTGGGAAAAGTGATTAATAGTAAAAGTTGGTAGTGTTTGAGAAAAAAGTGATTCTGGAAAAGTAAAAGTTGGTAGTGTTTGGTAAAATAAGTACTTTTTGTGTAATAGAAAAAGTGAGAAGCAGTTTAAAGCACCCTTCTACCTGCTTCCAGCTTTTAGCTTTTAAGTGATTAATTTAAGCAGAAGCTGTCATTTGAAAACACTCTTTTCAACTTTTTTTAAGCCAAAAGCTGAAAAGCGCTTTTTTTAAGCAAACTCAAACACTCCTTAATACTCCGTAGATCAATTGTGAAAACATATGCCACATCTTGATAAGACTACTGAGCATTATTACTAATTATTATTATTATTATTATTATTATTATTATTATTATTATTATTACTAATTATTATTATATGGATCATCCAGAAACAGACTCTTTATTCTTTAGTACAAAGGTAAGACTACGTGCATGCGAACCCCCCTTACCGCACTATAGGTGGAAGGCTTTAATTTGCGGGAGTAGGGTGATGATGGTGATGATGATGGTGATGGTGATGGTGATGGTGATGGTGATGGTGATGGTGATGATGATGATGATGATTAATTATTGTTGTTGATGCTTGGATGATATTAGACTTTGCACTTCATTTTTTAAAAACTTTGACTTTGCACCACATTGTATTCATGGAATACTCAAATTCATAACATTATTTCTTTATACTCCCTCCGTCCCAAAAACAACTTCCCACTTTCCTTAAATGGATGTCCCAAAATTAACTTCACACTTCAATACTTTCCTTATTTGGCAAATTATCTACATCAAAAAAGTGATAAACAGTGCCGAACAGTGTTTAAACAGTGCCAAACAGTGTTTAAACAGTGCCAAACAGTGTTTAAACAGTGCCAAACAGTGTTTAAACAGTGCCAAACAGTGTTTGAACAGTGCTAAACAGTGCACTCTGCAGTAAAGTCAAATTTATTTTCTAAAAGTGTGTGAAAGTCAAACCGGGAGGTTGTTTTCGGGACGGAGGGAGTATAATTAATCAGATATATTTAAAATATTCTTTTTTAAAGTTGCCCATTCCCAATCCCCAGTCACTGTACAACAATGCTCATTGTGGTCGACAGAGATCACTGGCCAATGGTACTGGTCACTGACCGGTGATGGTCACTGTCAGAGGGGGCGGTGGTCATTGGTCGGCTTCGGCCTTCGGCGGTTAGGGGCATAGCAAGAAGCATAAGTTAGAGTTGGCCAGTATACATATTTTTTTCACACAAATGTTTACCTATAAAATACAAGTATTTGTTGGGGATGATGGGGCCTCCCTCGGCTACGCCTTGTTTGCCATAGTCATTGGTGGCTCTGGTGGTGAGTATCAATAGGCGAGGAGTATAAAAACCTGAAATTTACTCTTTCGAATATTTTTAAAAGTAGTCTTATTTTTGTCCAAAATTTTATTTTAGCAATATTGATATCAAATCCTCTATATGACTGTATATTTTCTTTTTGTTTTTGTGATGTACTCCATATTTTTTACTACCCTCGTGTTGGAAAGGTTTGACATACTTCCTCCGTTCTTTTTTAGTTGCAACAGTCAATCTTTGCACATTTGCCAACGCACACATTTGACCGTAAGTATATCTTAATCTATGTTATAAAAAAAATATTTAACCAAATATATTTAAAATATTCTTTTTTAAAATATTCTTTTTTAAGTTCAAAAAACGTCTTATCTATAGCTAGTGATGTCAAACAATACATTATCTCACCCTGGTTGCGATTATGCATCACGAGTTGACTTACGGAGTACTCTGAGGATAAAGGTCATTTAATTTATTCATATGTACTACTTAATTAAGAATAACATTTATTACGGATACTTATCACGAGTACAACTAGTAAATTTCCAATCAACTCTAATTAATTCGTCTTTTAATACTACTCCCTTCCTCCCCACTAACCCCAGAATCCATAAGGTAATTACTCCTTTATCTATCCTAATGCATCTTCAGTGCACATCTATATCTCTCTTGGCTACGAGTAAATTTCAAATAGACATTTACTATGCATGATGTATGTGTTCTCGCTAGTTGACATGCATAGGGTGGAATATTTGCATCACCCATTAACGCATACCAACTGATTAAAAATATACAAAATATATATACAAAAAAAAAAAATTAAGATTATCTTTAAGCCTTAATTAATAAGTTGCCACAGGTTACATTGCATGCCTTGCGACAACTAAGATAGACTACAGACAAGCCCTAACTAAATAGAAGAGCATCTTCAATGCTAAAACGTTAACGGTGCATACGTGGCATGAGAAATAACCAATTAAAAAATAATAAATAGAATATATCTCTCCTTATTTAAAGGATCTTATATCATTTTGGTAAGTTTTTCTTCACAATGTCAAGCACAGTGTCTAGATGTAGACATTGTGGTTGACATTGCAGGCAAAAACTTACCAAAAACACATAAGACCGTGGAAAGAAGGAGAGAGAAATGTCATAAAATCAATATTTTGTGTCTATATCTCTCATGTCACATGTGCACCGTGCACATTGTAGCATTGAAGATGCTCGAACGTTATAGTCTCGTGAGCATTAATGTAGGTTTTAATTTTTTGATCCAGTTGGTTTAGTACTGATCGGGTTCTAGTCGCTTCCAATTCCCAATGAAATTTGACTCTGGAAATGATCATCGGCATCGCCAGAAGTAAAAGTTGGAGTGACTCGATACAAAAGTTTTCTTAATAGATTTTTACAAATAGTATTTTGAACATAAAATATAAGTATTTCTCAAATTTGGGGTAAGGTAGGGCCTTGTCAATCACGCCACCCTTACCTTGGCCTCAACCATTCAGGATATTCCGTGGTTCTAAAAAACAAGCCATTCAGGCGAGGTTCCTTCCAAGGCGGATTCGGACCCTTTTATTCATAAGGGTTCATGTGAACACGCATAATTTCAAAAATAAAATGTAAAAATACATGTTCATTTATTATTATAGTAATTTATATAGTGTATTATTTTTATTTAATATTTCTTACATCGAATCTTATTCACTAGTTCTTTATTTTTGAAAAAGTTACCTAACTTGATCAATCGTTGGATCGAACAATATTATTCAACATTTTAATCATAAAACAAATTTGAACACCCAAATTTTGATCGCAAGATCCGCTATTGGTTCCCTCAGAGGAAAAATGTAGTGGACATTCTGACAAAAGTTGTAAGGCGGGCGTTTTTTTGGAGAAATGTATCCCATAATTTCACTCTCCCATCATGCATACATAATATGTGTGTATGTATAAATTGTTAATTTTTTTGAAAGGATGCATGATGTATAAATTGTTAATTGAACAACAACAATCATGTATTTGATTACATATATTATTGCAATTGTTATTATTTAACTAATTATACTATACAAGTATGTATAATCTAAGCAAAAATAGAATTAAGTTGATGGTTGCACGTGACCTTCTTCATATATAAGTATTGTTACTCTTTTTCAAATATTGATTGGCGCTAATCAAATTTATGATTCAAATAGAATTAAGTTGATGGTTGCACGTTGTCTCAAGTATTTATCCATAAACTATATTTATTGATAAGAGTTTAAATACTTTGTAGCCACATTTTCTTGGTTAATTATTGGTCCCAAAGGAACTAATTTTTACTTAATAATCTCTAGTTGTATTACTAATAAGGTCTACAAAAGAAAATGTTCAAAAGCAAATGACGTTGATGCATCCCTTGACGGCTTGACCCCTTGAAGCATCTTTGTTTATTCAATGCAACAAATTAATAGATAAATTGTGAAAACATATTCTACGCCTTGATAAGACTGGTAAGCCTTATTACTAATAATTATTATTATATTATTGTTACAATAACAGCAATAGTAGAAATATATATACTAAAATGATAACAATTCAGAAGGAACTTTAACCGTGTTCAAAGTCACAAGCTAACAAATGGGTGAACAGAACCTTCAGCATCTCATGTACAAGATAATCAAGAGCCTGTGCTCCGCCATATAGTCATACCATCTATGAAAAACACAGTAGGGGAAGTCACTACCTTAAAGGCTGAAATGAGTTATAAAAAAGAAATATTATTATTATTTAAAAAAAAAAAACTAAGACTCGATATGCAAGTATGTCCAATCCTCCAACGACAGGAGGAAGCTGTATATGAATAGTGCTTTAACACAATACACCGGCAGGGACAGAGCCTATTGACCGTTATTATTTCCCAGAAGGCGATCCACCGCCGCATTAACATTCCCAGAAGTAGCTGTGAGTGCCCTGATGTTTTCTTGGGTGTCAAAGAAGCCCATCTCTTGCAATTGTGCCAGCTGGGAGGCATATAGTTCCTCTGGAGGGACTGTGATTAAAAACAACAATTGATTAATAAAAATAGATAGCAAAAGAATGGAAGATGATGAAGAAAACGCTACATACGAACCATTAGATCTATTGGGAACTCCCAAGCCACCTGCACCAAGTCCACCAAACATGTTCATCAGCATGTCTAATCCCATATTGTCAGGTGCACCTGTGATACCTCAAGATGAATTAATAATCGCCAACAGACATAACTGAATTGTGCATCATATGCATCAAAATATGGAGTGTTCTGTAATATGTACTAAAGTAGTGTTACAATTAGTGCCCTTTCCTGCATATCAACCTTTTCAACTAGATTTTCCTACAATAAGTCAACTTACTTCAGTATTTGAATACCTAAGCTGAATTGGTTTACAATGAAAAAGATAGTAGAGTATTTGTTGAAGGTGCTGACTATTAGGCTGAAGTTGAGATGAAAGAAAACTACAATCACGTAACGTTTTAGATGTTATTTTCTTTGATTAATTAAGAAAACGTATTTTTAATGTCTTTGGATTCTGCATGATCACATTTTTCAGCATATTCAGCAAAACTTGCCCATTCCCATACAGGCTCTTCATATTTCAAGCATGATCTTCTCCTTCGAAATTGCTGTCACACAGCACAGTGGTTCCAAATTTCCAACTGAATTAAAGAACATACGAAGTTAGTAAGTTACCTGCTCTTCCGCTGTTTAGACCTGTTTCTCTGCACAGTAAACAGTGTAATAACTAGTGAGCAAATTAGAGAGTAAATTCTTATACACAGCAAAACAGATGTCAAGTCCCAAGGATGAAAAGATCTTTCCTTTTTAATAAATAGAAATAGGATGAGATAACCTCAACAAACATGTTGATGAATAGTTTGGAGTAATGGTGGTTGCAAAATAGCACCCCCCCCCCCAAAAAAAATCTAATCTAAAATGCTTTAAGCTTACTGGTTTGTCTGCTGTCGTCCAAATTGAGACGTAAGGGATTGTTGAAATGCCAACATTTGCTGAAACAAAATAAAACATAAAAAAAATAGTAGATGTAATTACCAGGCAGCAAAGAGGTTACACAACCTAGGTAGCTTGAACAAAGGCAAAAGACAAGTTTTAATACACCATAAATACGTTCATTTCTAAATTGTGCACAGAAAGTACATGCACCTCTGTACACAAACTGGTTAAAGGAAATAAAAAGTAATAACGGAAAACTACAAATCAGCATAACACAGAAAGATCAACAATTTGCACTAAATGCAAAATATTGTGTTTCCAACCATGTCAAATGGGAGGTAGTAAATGCAGTTGAAATGCCAAGGCATTTTTTCTTTAAGGTTTCACCAGCTGTAAAAAATGCAACTCAAACTCAAACTACAATTTCATTGATCGGTTCGTACTAAATTACTGTACTTGATATTTTTCATGCTTACTTATCGACTATTTTATACTCCCATCCCACAAAAACTTTGCCAAATTTCCTCATTTAGCCGTCCCAAGAAAGTTTGGCAATTCCATTTGATGTAAGAAATCTGTGGTTCGACTGTTCGAGCTATTTCTCTCTCCTTTACACAAATATCATCCCACAATTTATACTTGATTACTTCACATGCAACTCAAAGTTGGCTAAGTTTTATGGCACGGAGGGAGTACAAGTTAATGGATAGATGCTACCAGACCTTCCCATTCCCTCATATGTCAATTCCCCAAACAGGAGAGGGAAGTACAATCTTTTATGAAAACTAATAATAATCATTCCTGGATAAAACTACAGTAAGAAAATAGCATAATACGGAGTATGCAATAGACACAGGTCACTCCAAATCATTTCCCTTGTAATCCAGAGGGAAATTCATAATCCCTTATTATCTGCTCTGCGGTAGGTCTTATAAACATGATTTCCTCCCCTTCATAATACCCTTGCTTTCTCTCATCTAATAGCCTTCCTCCTCTTCAATCCCCCCCTCATTCTAAACACGTTGTTAGTCTTTCATTTTTACTCCTTTTAGATGTCATCAGGAAATGGGGATGCAGCTGAATGTTAAGTGAACTGGAATTAATGTTCTAGATTTCAATGAATCTCACTGCCAGAGCATACTTCTTGAATGAAAAAGGTCATTCTGATTAAAGAGATATGGCAACAATGTACCTGCATCATCTCAGGGGAAGTCAATTGGCGAATGAAGTCAGGGTTTTGCATCATCTCCCTAATTTGGGAATTGGAATCAAGCATGCTCCGTAATTGTGGGTTGAGGCCAAGAATCTAAAATTTGCAACATAAATCTTTTAAACAAACAAACACGATTACGTATCTTTGGAACAAAGAGAAAAGTGAACATGAAATGCCAAAAAAGACCAATCAGCATGGCACAAAAAGGATACCTGATTCATGTACTGAGGATTGGAGAGCAGAGACTGCATCATCTGTGAGATAGCAGGATTCTGCATCATCTGATTTACTGCATTGGGATCTGGCATACCACCTAAAAGATCTGGTAAACCAAGTCCACCTAGGCCACCAAGTGGAGCTGTCCTAGACTCCGCAGCTGGATTTGACCTAGCAGCTGCATTAGTCTGTTCAGTTCCAGCTGCAAAGTACAGAAAAACAGAAAATATGAGGTAAAAAGACAAACCATGAGACCTTACAAGAGCATAAGTAACTATCTAGAACTGTTCCCAGCAGCAATAGATCTCCAGACTTCCTCATTTTCATTTTCATTTACCCCAGTGCCGCAAAGGCTCCCACCTACGGTGGGGTAGGGGGGGTCGGATGTACGCAGTCTTACCCCTGTACTAAAGCACAGAGAGACTGTTTCCGGATCTCCAGACTTCCTAACTAAAATAATTTACATGGAATTCATTAATAATGCTTCAACCAAGTCAGCATCTCCAGTTGAATTTTCAACTGGAGACTAATCAAGGTTTGACAGATACACCAACAGCATCACATTTATAAATGCTGATAGTCTATCCCAGCTTCTAATGCAAAAAATAGCAGTCAGGCCTACTGCCTACGTGCCAGACACTAACCATGCAAACTTATTATGGTAATGAAAACTTTAATATGAATATTCGATTATAACTAAAAGAGCAGATGCTTACTGCTAGCAGATGCCCAAGGATTAGGAAGTGGATTAATATTTGGAACAGGAGGGTTAGTAGTGGTTTCAGAACCACCTCCTGAAGAATTATTTAATTGATCCCTGCCTTGCCCGCCACCCTGAACACCCAAGAGTGCAGCAAAAGGGTTTGACCCCGCATCATTTCTTGTGTCCCCGGCCATGGTTGTTGCATTCAGGAATGGTTCTTGGACAGTTTCATACATGCGCCTGAGCATGTTAAATCCCTCTGGGGAAGATTCAATATTGCTCATTGCCCTGTCAGTATTACGCATCATCTCCCGCATGAGCTCAGGGTTTCGTGCAGCCTCCATGGTTTGCCGTAGAGTGGCAGGATCATTTAGAATGTGGGCAAGCTCTGGGTTTCGGTCCATGATCTCCCGCATCTGAGGATTGTTCATGATCAAGTTCCGGATGACTTCTGGATTATTCATTAAGTTCTGAACGAGAGGCATGTTCAATATATCTCTCATCATGTTGGGGTTTTGATTCAACTGTTGCTGTACTTGTTCAAAATCTGGAAGTCCAGCTCCAAATAAACCACCACCAACACCACCACCACTTCCAAGTCCATTTAAATTTAGCCCAGGAAATAGTGAAGCTCCAAGACCAGGACCTCCTAATGCTGCACCAGGACCAGTATCCCTAGGTGCATTTTGGTTAGCATTTGGAACTCCAGGATTAGCTGCACCAGCATTATTTGTAGAGGGAGCTGGAGCAAAGCCACGAACCATATGAACAGTGTGATCTGCCACCAAACCTACCAAGCACGCAAAAATTGATTAATGATTCATTAGTCAGTACATTGTCATATAAACTTATAAATAGACATTTAAAAGTAGGTCTGTAGCATACAGAAGCAGAATGCAAAAGATTTTTTGTATTGACTATTATTTAATCATTCTGGGCAAGTGACCTGCATTCATTTATTATCATTAGGGAGACGTAATTACATATACAGAGCTTCAATAGTTACTTTTACCCACTATGTGATGGAATCTACGAAAACAAGGGCCAGAACAAAGGACAGGAATATGGCACTGAAGATCGATTATATTGTAACCCTTGCTGATTTTTCAGGCTACTTTGGTTCCTTTATATGAAAAAAATGCAAATAAAAAATCACCATCTTCCAAATTTTTCAACCCTCAATTTGTATATATACAACTGGTCATGTTAGTTGCGAATATATTTGAACTTTTTTAAAGGCTACAACAACATCCAAACCTTAGTCCCAAAAAATTTTGGGGTCGGCTTACAGGAATCAATACATGATATCAGAGCCAAAAGGGAAAAAATGATAAGAAAGAAAAAAAGATAAGGTATGATAAAAAATTATAATACTCCGTATAAAATAGAGATAAGAAGATTGGTTGAAGCTATTAAATATTGATGTAGTACTTTTACATTTCAAAAAGCTTCTAGAACAACCGACATGCTTCTAAGGATGTTCTTACTTGGACAGAAATTTCTTGATTTGGTGTGGTTAAGTTTGGTCTGGTTTAGTCCAGTTGATGTCCTGTCCTGGCATCTGTGTATTTTACAACTATTTAAGTCGGGTCTGTTTAAGTTTGGTATGTTCTGTTCTGGGACTGAATCAGTCCAAATATAACATCCCAAATTGCTAACTTTAGTGTTAGGCTATCACACAATAATGTACTACCAACGTAACTTGACTTTCCATGCATCACAGAAACTACGCGTCAACTCCATGATGTAACTTTAATTCTAAAAATGGTTCAAAATCATATTTTTTACGAACAAAATCTAAAAAGACGCAAAAACTTTGCCCCCAATTCTCACTTCTCAAATCGATAAAAAGTTAATTCATTCATCATGGTGACAAGCATGATTTACGCTGAGACACACCTAGATCCTTGCACATATAAATGTCAATATTTAAGAGAAAGTGCGATACTAAAGCCTAATAAGCCTTCAACATTGCACCTAATTCTCACTTCTCAAATCTATAGATAAATAATTTGTCTGTAATGGTTACAAGCATGATTTACACTGTGCCATTTTGCCCTAAGTCCCAAAGCTACAATCAATCAAGTGAAAATATCAAATGAAAGCTGCAATACACCCTCCTGATTCAAGATTTATAAATCTCACATATCTACAAACACACATAGCAAGAACACGTGTTTATGATTCAACAATCCATATATTAACTGAATCTTAGGAAAGATAATGGAATCTTATGAAAATTTGAAGAAAGGGATTATTATTGACTTACCATAGCTATCTAGGGTTTGCTCATCCTTCAGGATCCGGCCTTTGTAGATCAACCGCTGCTGCTCAGCGGGGATGTCGCATCGCTGGGAGAGGAGGGACTTAAAGGATCCAACGGAAGAAGTGAGGTTGACCTGCACAGAGAACTTAGAGCCATTGGAGCAGCGGATGTTAATTGTCACAGCCCCGCTGCTATCAGACCCGGGGACGTCCGTCAAGCTATCCTCGTTTTTCTTCGAATTGTCCCCATCGATGTTCGCCGCAACATCAGCATCGCCGCCGCCGCCCATACTCAACTCAACCAAGTTGGGACTTTCTGCTACAATTCTAATTCGAGCAAACAGGAATCGAAAGAGAAAGATGCGAATTCAAGTTACGGATCAATCTAGACGACCCGACTTTGACAGAGATGTAAAGGGGCGGGTGAGTGGGTCATGGGTAGATGAACCAAAAAGTCAAAAACCGCAAACCGAATTGATAAAACCGGAAACACAAGCAAAAATGAAAATAAATCAAGACCGTAAGAAAACTCAAATCGAACTCAAAATATTAAACGCAATTCTTTTTTCTTTTTTTTTAACTCCAGGGGCTTCTGGGGGAGCCTAGAATTATCTAGTCTGAAACTCACTCCATTGAGTTTCGAACCCGAGACCTCCCATAAGGGAAAGTGAGTCGGCGACCAGCTGGACTGGACCGCTTCCTCATATTAAACTTAATTCTAAGTGTGTAGTTTTATTTTTTGTTTTTACCTCTACAAACTGAACCGAACAAATCAAACTTTTTAACACATGCTATTTTTTATTAAAATTTCAAACATATTATAGTATATGGTAGTTTATTTATTAATCATTAAGTATAACACTTTCTTAGCAAATGAGGTGGGGGATTCCTATGTACCTTATTGTGGAAGATATCAAACATTTGCTTTGCGATGAAGCTTGTATGTTGGTTTACTATTGTACACGATCCGCGAATCGTGTAGCTCATGGTTTAACCAAAGCTACCTTTTCTAAGTCGAATGGTAGAATTTTGTATGAGTTAACGCCTTCTTGTATTCTTGGCCAATTGACTAATGACTCTTTGAATTAATATAGTTTGACGATTTACTTTAAAAAAAAACCTAGAAGGTTGATGTTTAGTACTAGATTTATTATGATTTTTAAGATATTCATATTTTATATTTATGTTTTAACTAAGTAAATCAGTTTTTTAGTTTCTTGCTATAATAATGACATATTGTGGTTTTAAACAGTAACTTACTTCAATTCTTTACTTGAAGTTAGTTTTTTCAATATATAATTAGTTACATTTATTGATTTTTATACAAAAAATTGTTTGCAAAGAAATATGTATTGATCTAAGTGCGGCCCAAAAATTGTTTTCAATATGTATTACTCTTCCGGTAAGGTATACCTTACCGGAGCCGCCGTGCGGCCTCCACGTTTTGAGGGTCTTCCCGGTGGAATTTTTCGATGAAATTTTTTGATCATGTTCTTCATCAAGTCTAATACATCCATACCAAATTTCACCAAAAAATTCAATCGGGAAGGCAGTCAAATGATTTTTGGAAGATAACTGCAACCTTTATATACATATAAAACGCAGTTATCTTCCAAAAATCGTTTGACTGCCTTCCCGATTGCATTTTTTGTTGAAATTTGGTATGGATGTAATAGATTTGATAAAGAACATGTACAAAAAATTTCATCAAAAAATTCCACTGGGAAGGCCCTCAAAACGTGGAGGCCGCACGACGGCTCCGGTAAGGTATACCTTACCGGAAGTTTTTCCTGATCTAAGTTATACAACATATACCTTAGATAACATATATATTATTCAACTATATATTTAAACAACTAAGACAAAACGGGAAACTTTAGAGCATATACTCCATATACCTTTGTCTATAAAGAAAGTAGAATAAGTCATTTTAATTTATTTACCATCAACAACAAAAAAATCAGTAACAAAGAAAATGAAACAATGTTCACAACATTTACAAATAAAAGCTTAACTTGATGCTACACTATATATATTACGAATATAAACTTATGTATTTATTTATTTTAAGAAATGTTCAAAGAGATACACACTCTCTATATATATGCCTAGTAATTGAAGTATTGGAATATTGAAAAATGTACATACATAAGTGTTGAGGTCTATTCGTCGTGGTTCAAATGCCCGACATGCATGTTCCTTTGAGCATTCGTTGGAGCTTTGATGGATAGTGTATCTTTTTTGTGAGTAGATTAAATGAGTATGAAGGCATAAGCAATAGCAAGAAGAGTAGGAGGTAAAGTGGATCAAGTTCTATTAATATACTTGGAACCATTACAACGCGCACTTACCGAGCCCGAGCCCTCACACTCAGAGAATACAGAAGAACCAAACACAGAAGCTAAGCTATTGAATGCAATTTGTAAACCTTTACAATGAAATAAATGCATATATTTATACTAAAAGGTAGTGGTCGGTGATGGTGACGTGGCGAGCCCTAGTGGCTAACCCTTGACCATAAAATCTTTCTACATTGAATTTGCTTCGCGCAATTTCTTTGCCTTCCCACCAATTCTTCAAGGTGACTACGCTAGGTGCCCATCGATAGCAATCTAATGGTTCTTCAAGGATCCTGTCCCGTCCAACCCATGCCGCCAGGGTCAAAGTTACCTTATCTGCTTGTTGGGCCCGTTGTCCTACAGGGGGTATGTGGGCATGCCCTATGTTGGGCCATATGCCCATATACCCCAACACAAGTCCCCCATTCTGATGTTTCGGGGTGTGGGTACATTAGCTGTGCGGATGGCCTCACGATGCCATAGGCTTCTCAAAATCAAATCTGGGAGCAAAAGAACGTGGCTGAATATTTGATGAAAATCTTGTCTCATACTCGGTCCAGTATTGGCAATACTCGGTCGAGTATGCCTATTTTTCACAATTTCCTGGAAACTGCCTACTCGATCCAGTATCCCATATACTGGATCGTGTACAGAACCCTGCCACCTCCATTTTGCTATAAATACACTCCTTTTCCTTCACATTGAAATCACCAATTCACACATACTTCTAAGCTCAGTTTAGACAAGTATTTTCTTTATATTTCTAGCATGTAGTCTCCAAATGAGGAGGTAAACTCTTCCATCTTAGTTTTGGCTACTTTGAAGCTTAATGAATTGTAAGTTGTGAGTTATTTTCTTTAATCCTCTTCCTTTTTTTTTGCAAAACATCAACCAACCACCATTATATTAATAAAAGATCATTTGCCATCAGGCTTACAATATTATTCGGAATACTCTCATAACTAAAAATATGATCTGAGATGCTAACATGTGATCTCGCCAAGGCGTGAGCCACACGATTCGCAGACCTTTTACAATAAGAGATACCAAAAGACCTCTTTGTGTGTAACAAGAAGCGGATATCATCAAGTATTAAATCCATGTATGCCAATCCTACTCTCTTGTTAAGTCCCCGTACTACCACCTGAGCATCAGATTCGAAATCAACAAGGTTCCAATCTTCCTTTATAGCTGTGCGGATGGCCTCACGATGCCATAGGCTTCGGCCTCTTCTGGAGACCAGCATGCTGCGCACGAACCTCCCCCTGCCTTGACAAACTCTCCTTGATCGTTCCTTACCACCCAACTCCAAGATCAAATATCCTTTGTCAGGTCCAGTGCAGCGTCCACGTTTACCTTAATTCCCCCTGTTTGCGGTTTAACCCAACTCGCGCGACATGCTGCTATGCATCGCGCCATGCGCGTAGAACACTTGCACAGCCGTTAAGCAGCCCGGCAGTTTGCTGCCAGTCATCATCCCACACAAACGAGTTCCGCCTCTTCCAAACACCCCATAGCAACATTGCCACCTTACAACTTGTCCGGCCCAGAGAGAAGATTTTGCAGCCAACTCTTCAAAGTAATATCTCCATTCCCGATAGTCCCCGCCGCAGTCCACACCTCCGATGTTCTAGGACATAACCGAAGGGCATGGTTTGTAGTCTCTTCGTCCTGCAAACAAGATTTACACAAAGTGTTCAAAGCAACACCACGTTTTTTCAAATTAGTCAACGATGGTAATGATCCATCAAGCACCTGCCAAACAAAATATTTTATCTTTGGTGGAATTTTCATCCCCCAAACGTCTTTTCAGCCCCCCCAAACTTCCTCATCATTAACAAGCATAAGATCTCTATAGCAACTACAAATTTAATCCTCTTCCTTGAATATTAATTAATTCCTATTCATATTTCATATTAATATTTTGAACATTACTTAAGGGACCAACTAGTTTTGTTTCATATATTAATTATTACTAGAATCGATCGACGAATACGCTTGTTAATCGTTCGGTCCTTTCACGGTAGTAAACTTGAGTTATTAATGCACGTGTCTCATGATTAATAACCTAAAGGGAATTAATTATATTGATTAAACCAATAAACCGCTTGTGTTGAGGTTATCAATCTCATTCGTTTTCATTTTGATTTTATTGCTACTATCGGGTTAATATACGGCGCGTGTTCTATATTGACTCGGTAGTAAGTTTTATTAATGAACGCGTCTCGTTATTAATAACTACCCTCGATGAACTCGATATACTCCTCGATTGAGTATTCGAGAGGAAGATAGTTAAAGATATAACCGGGATCGACGAACATTTCATTATGTGGATAAAAGCAAAGCCAAGTCTTCATCTATATTAAGTAAACCACATAAGTCGTTCATCTTAGTGTTTAAATATAATTTAAATTCACCAAACAATCTAAAAAAACCCTTGTTATTTATTACTAGTTATATAAAAATAGAAGTATTCCTTTCCCTGTGGATACGAACCTTACTTCAATATAGTACGTATATTTGTTGTATTGATTTTTATTTTGAATGTACATCACGACAAAGTGCACGCCAGTACCTGACGATTAATAGTCGCAATGGTCGGAAAATCTTCAAAAGAACAAGTCATCCATCAAGGGTCAGAAGCACTGATCTGTCTTTCTCCAGGTCCCTGACAGCTAGCTTCTAACCTAATGGAACGGTTACCCGCCCAAGGTGAAGGAGACCCATGTCTCAGACGAGCTGGTGAAGGATATCACTGTCTTGGAGCACGGGTGACGTCTCTCACATAGTGGCGTACCTCACCACCGACCGACTAGCCAAAGTTGAGATAGGTATCACCCACACCTCTCGATTTCTTGTAGAGGAATCAAGTATCGAGCCCAAGCCCCGACCTTATACTCTACACTGGGAGAATACAAAAAAACTAGAGAGAGAAGCTAAGCTATTGAATGCAAGTTGCCAACTCTTTACAATAAAATACATGTGTGTATTTACACTACAAGGTAAGAGAAGGTTGTGGTGATGTGGTGAGCCCTGAGTGGCTAACCCCAATCATAAGATCTTCTATACCTAGTGCATTAAATGCGCTTCCCACCATTTCGTTATCTTCCCACCAATTCTTCTAGGTGAGTAAATTAGGTGCCCATCGAT